TCCCTGTGCATATCCAGTGTGGATGTGCGGAAGGGCAGAGTGTGCGTAGGTGGTTCCAGGACATGTCTCATGGTGTGCTGGAGAGTCAGTGATGAAAACTTTCATGTTCCTGAGAAAAATGTGACTTCTGTGACCAGGACTTTGTTGGCTTCACTTCAGCACTGAGTGTAAAAGGGCACTGTCTTTTACTTCAGCTGTACTCTTTTCAGGACTTGCTTTTGGGGCATGCAAATACACCTGCTTGCTTCTGTTGTGGCACTAGGGAAAAAAACCTGATTAATGGATCCTGGAAGCAAAGACTGAAACTAGGAAAGTGTGTGGCTGGCATATGCAAGACTTGGGCAGTTTTGAAAAAAATGTTTAAAGCAGATAGAGGGGATTGCAATAATCTGCTAAGGTACTCCAGGCTATGCATTGACTGAGAAGGGCTACTCAGTACCTAAAGGCAAAGTGCTTTTGGGGACCTATCTCCATAGGTGGCTTCTGCAATAAAAGCTGGGAAAATCCCACCTTCTGGAACATCCAGAGGTGAAGGGATTTCTTCAAGCTGTAACCTAAAATGAACTCAATTTTAGGACCACTCTTACATTATTTGAGACAAATTTAATCCATATTCAGGCTTTGTATGGCCTTGACTCGAATGGCTCCTTACAACATTGATTAGTGCATGAGCTGGAGAGTGGAGTGAGAAGAAGGCTCCTGAATCTCTGCTAATAAAATAAAACATTGGACCTGTTCCTGTGGGTGAATTCATTTTCCCTACTCTCTCCAACAAACTGTTTTTAATCTAATAAGTTTCCTTCTGTCATTCACACTTCTTCTGAGTCACAGCATTACAAGCAAGTTATTTAAAAATTAAAAAACACCACCATGCTGTAGAACGTAATGTGAATCTTTGAAATTTTGTTGGGCATTTTAATTTCAAGATTAATCCTAGCAATCAAGCAGATGAGGACAGATGATCACAGGTAGCGCAAAATGAGCCATTTTTGGGTGCTGATGAAACCTGGGAATGTATTAATCCTGTGGGGCTTCTCATTTATAAGTTGTTGAATTCAGGTAGAAATATAGAGGGCAGAAATATTTGTCTCAGCTATCCACCAATGCCTATTTGATTGAGGTATTCAGGAGAATCTTTATAAATAGCAACTTATTTCCTTGTTAAATGTAAATCCAGTATCTTCAAAAAGAGGATATTTTCCAGAAATTACATTCTCTTAGGTGTAGTTTGGGTGTTTTTTAAATGAAAGTTGTGCTGCTGATAAGCTGAGCTGAGGAAAGAGTTCCTTCCTATAGCTGCAAAAACCCCACCTTGCAGAGCTACACTGAAATGACCAAGCTTACCTAGGCCCCAGATAGTTGTATGTGCCTGTGCTTCAAATATCCTTATACCCTCCTCTTTGGAAAGTGCATATGACTTGTTTCAAATGCTCTGTTGTGAAAGTTTTGATTTCCACTGCTCTTCTAGGAGCCGTGTTGTAGGCTAAAGGACTATTTTTGACATTTGATTCCTGGCTTCCAAATTTTGTTTGCAGTTTTTGAGAATACTGCTTGGTTCACGACAGGCTAGAGCCAACAAAGGTGAAGTTTAGGGTGCTGAAGCAGGAACAGACCCCAGTGAGGCTGAGCTCAGGTGCCCAGACTCATCAGCAGAGAAGATGGGACACACAAGGTCCTGAGTGCCCTTTAAAATAAAAGTCATCCAAGGTGCCATAGTACCTTACCTTGATTACAAGTCTGTACAGAGTGATGTGAGTCTGACTCATACTTCAAGACACCACGTCTCTGCTGACTTGGAACCTGCCTGAAAAGCCCTCCTGACAACTTGCAGCTCATTTCCCCTTCACCAACTCCTCCTCTTCAGTAAGTCAGTGGAAAGGGTCCTTTTTCATAAAATGAGCTGAGAAGGTAGAGTGACATTAACCACCCTTAGTAAAATGTGCTTGATGGCAAGAAGAACTAATCCTGTTAGTATACAGTAGTACCAATCTGAGTATGTTTTATTGGATTAAACTGTCAGAGATATGGGCACAGAAATGTTGAGCCTTTATTAGATTTAGGTATGGCTGAGCACTGAGCTGCTTTGGTGTGGGGTTATTCTTTCACATCTGTGCTGTGCTAAAACTTTTCAGATTCTAAGAAACTTCAGCACTGGCTAACCCAGTCTCTTCAGAACTGTGGTGTTGCAGGAAGTTCCTGAGACTATCTTGGTTGCTTCTTGAACCAAATACAAATCAGCTTCCTAAAATTTTTTTCTCTTCTGTGGGAAAAACATATTTTTTATTTCTTCTACTCAGTGAGACAAACAGATGCTCTACTTGTGTAAATGTTGGGAAGGTTTCTTTTGCTTTGTGTCTTCAGTGTTTCAACAAAAATTATTTGGAAATCAACGTTTCCTAGAGCCCTTTGTTAAATCTTTCAATGCTGTTATATGCAAATTATTTTTAAATTTATGCTGCAGTGTCTTCTCTGAACAGAAAATCTAGAAGAGTCATGATTAAAAAAAAAAAAAAACACAAAACCAACAAAAAACCCAAACAAAAACCACAACCCAACAAAAGAACACAGGTATTCAGTAAGCATTTCCATATTTCACAGTAATTTTAAGCTTGTCATTCCCATTTTCTTTTCTTTGGGAAAACCAAGCCATCCTAGTAATGCTTCTTCTGAAATGGCCTTGCTTTCATGCCAGCTGGTACTGGGGCTTCACCAGTTCCCAGTCTTTCTCTGGAGAAAAAATATGGTGAATGAGGACAAGAACAGCAAAATGAAAGGTGAACTAAGGGCAGGCAAAGAGTAGAAAGGAATATGGATTCTATTTTGGTGATGAATTTATAAGAGCTGCCTGTAATTGCTTGCTTTCTTCTTCTACCATTCACACAGATGTCTAGCTCAAGTGTTGGCTCCCATCTCTGCTCCTGCACTTCCACTTGCACAGTTCATCTTCTGCCAAAACAATTTGCCTTGGTAGTTTCTACTTTCTTTTCCATGTGACTGCATTTTCAAGCTAGGTTTACCTAAAAAGACTCAAATCAGCAGCAAAAATGTAACCTAAAGACTTTGTCTAATATTGTGAGCTGCTGGCAAGGTCCCTGGCCCAAAGTTTTGGAGCAGTTTCTCCGTAAATAAGGGCTATGACCTCCCAGGCATGTTTATGCCATCTAGCTGAGGCAGTCCATGAAACCTCCACTTTCACGCTCCTCCATCAATTACATGCTTCAAAACCCAACAACCTTCAGAGGGTTTGCAAGTAAATAATTGACGTGTATTAACCTTTGTAAATCTGCTTTGAAAATTCAATAAAACTGCTGAAATGTTTCTGACACCTTCCAGAGCTCATCAGAGTTTGGTAGTGGTGTTGCTATGGTACCTATCAAGTAAAGTTATTGATGCCATTAGTGTCTGTCTTTTAAAAGTTATTTTATTCCATGGTAAAGAGCAGGATCCTGAAAGGACTTTTTGGTAGTATCCAAACAACTCTCTAAACTTCCTAAGCATTTCTCAGCATAGAAAATGCAGTAATATCTATAGAGGGCATTAGCTCCATTCTGTTTTAACACCAAGAAATATCTGGTGACTTATTTAAGTACACTGGGAGAGAAAGATTATTACTCTCAGTTGCTTCCATCTGCTCATTGCAAACTCCAAATGAAAGATCCTTTGATGCACAAAATAAATCTCTTCTGCCAGGCATCAGTCAGTGAGGGCTCAGTGCAAATAATTGAATGCAAATAACATAACACATTCCATGATAGTCTCAGATTTGCTTTGCAGATTTGTAGCAGACAATCCTTTCTAAAACCTTGAAATATTTTTTTTTACATTAAAATACCTTACAATTCTCTGCTTACCTGTGGCTGTGTTGTCTTTGCAGTGAGTTTAACTATACAACATTAGAATAAAAACAAAAGTGGAATTGAAAAACTATGGCAAATAATGGCCTCAGACTTGCCACCATTGTTAGCCATACATCTTATAGAGACTTCCTTTGGTTAGATGTGAGATTTTTTGTGCTGCCATGTTGATGGGATAAGCATTCTTACAATACAAATTTACACAATTCTATTATTGCCACTATTTGAATTTGGGAAATGGTTGTTATATTTAGCATAATTTCCACCTGCTGCATAAAATAAATTTTTTAGCATTTCTTAAGTGTGCATTAAAAGCTGTGAGGTTTTTAAGTGGGGAAAACATTTTGAAACAGTATTTTGAGTTGAATCCAATGTCCTTGGCTAGAAAGAGAGGAAAAGAGATCTTTCAAGTTGTCATTAAAATATGAACTTGTCTATTTCTATGATGAATGAACAGCAAGTATGAGAAGCAAAAGACGAAAGCTGAAAGGAACCTCTAATGTTACTGAGATGCTGCAAAGACAGTGCAAAGCTTGCCTAGCTCAGGCTTTATTCTCTGTCCCAAGAGATCATCAATTCTGGCAGTATATCTTGTTGAACAGCAGGATGAGGAAGTGGAACAATTTCTTTCTCCCCGCACCGGCTCAAGGCCATCAGTAAACCTGGATCCTGCTTCCATGAGCGGCAACAAGGGTGGACAGATCTAAAAAGGAAGTGCATATCTGAGACTCCTAGATTTCAGTGCTGGTCTCTGCATGTGTAAAAATATTACATCTTGCTAACATCTGCAGTTTTCACAGATTGGTTTGGGTTGGAAGAAACCTTAAAGGTCCTCTAATTCCATCCTCCCACCATGGACAGGGGCACATTCCACTAGTCCAGTTTGTCAAAGCCCCATCCAACCTCGATAACTTTTGGGAACTGCGCATCAATTCTCTGGGTAACCAGCTCTGTGGGGGGGATAGAATGTAAGAGAATAGAGATAGTGCAGAAGGCAATTTCATCCCTGAGGAGTTGCAGCTGTGCTAATTACCTAACAGTACAAACTGGCCGGCCCTTAACAGGCCACAGCTGTGTCCAATAAGGATGAGTGCTATAAAAGAGTGGGCTAGCCAGTCAAGAAGAGAACTGCAGTATGTTGGTTGTGTTGTGAAGAAGGAGTTAGTGCTGTGAGGAGCTGCCCATGGAAAATCACTGAGATGGTATGGAACTTTTGCAATAAGATGACAACCCAGTTCCAGGGTCTCACTATCTTCATTGTGAATAATTTCTTCCTAATATTAATCTAAAGACACACTTCTTCAATATAAAGCCGTTACCCCTTGTCTATTACTATACGCCTGTGTAAAAGTCTTGCTGAAATCCAGATTTGCCACAATTATCTGAAGATGCTGCACAGAGACCACTGTTTCACTCTGCTGGCAAGGTAGAGACACTCTGTGCCCTTGTTCTCTATAGTTTTGCTATGGAGTTTCTAGAGATTGGTTGTATGATGGAGTAGGGCAGAAAAGGCTCAGTTTTAAGACCAACCCATTCACAATCTAACAACCAGGTTCTTAAAGCCTTGACAAACACACTGGGTGCCATTTGGAATTATTGAATCATAGAATGGTTTGAGAAGGACTTCTAACTCATCCATCTAGTCCAACCTCCCCACCACAGGCAGGAGTGTCTCCAACTTGAGCACATTGCTCAGCGACCCATCCAACCTGACCTCGAATGTTTGCAGGCAAGGGATACCTGTCTGGGAAAATCATTCCAGTGTTTCATTATTCTCATTGTAAAACACTTCTTCCTTGTGGTCTAAATCAACCCTTTTTTAGTTTAAAGCTATTGCCCCTTGTCCTATTGCTAAAGGCCCTCCTAAAACATCTGTCCCATCTTTCTTAAAGTATCCCCTTTAGGTACCCTTTAGGAAGGTCACAGCACAGTCCCCCTGAAGCATTTTCTTTACCAGGCTGAACCACCCCAATTTTCTCAGCCTGTTCTTCGTAGGAGAGGTGTTTCAGCTCCAAGCAAGTCCATGTCTTTCCTGTGCTGAGATTTCTCTTATCCTATACTGACTATGCTCATTTTTCACTGCTTTTATGGCCATTTTAGACATATTTATTGGGCCAAATTCACCTCTCATCTACTTCAATCAATTTTTTTTTTCAAACTCTCTTAGTAAGCCTTAATACTTTTCTTATTTGGGAAGTGGAACTTGCCTTTAGTGACTCAAAAGCTCCCAGTCCTAGTGATGTTGAACACCACACATGTTACAGTGGGGTTTCAAAATGATTCCATTGTGGCTGAACCTCTGCATAGCTGAAAATGGAATTCTACTTCTTTGAAAAATGCCAGAAGAGGAAAAGGGGGGGGGGGAGTAATCCAGCTGCTTAGGTCAGTGGTGTGTTTAATATGTCTTTGCAGAGGCTATTTTTGTGTATAAGTATTCAGGAATGTATCAAATAAGATAGAGGAAGGTAAAGGGAGAATGCAATGTGTCATATGTTTTCACAGTTGATTAGCTGGTTATTCTTGGTGCTTATTGGGGGTTTCCTCAACAACAGACCTCACATCAAGGTCATGGTGTCACAGTCATCAGTACAGTAATAAGCCTGTTGAGTACTCTTAAATGATAGGGGAAGGGAAAGAGGCTAAGGGAGCTTTCTTCTTGAAGCAGTGATTTCTTAAACAAAATACCACATAATAGGGAGAACTGATTGAATTTAGCCAACTGTTATGTCACCATAGCAACCATACATATTAGCTACACGTAGAAAATTATTTTTATTTCTCAGGGATTAAAATGTTGTTTGTCTTTCGGGGGGGCAGGGGGGAGAAGATGTGGCAGATATGCTAGGATCTTGTATTTGAGGGAAGAAATAGTTTTGTTTAAAATATTGTGATGGGTGGAAAAGATATGGATGCTTTGTGCACTGCATTGGCAGATTTTCCTACGTGGTCATATGTTGCCTTCAATGGGAGAATCAAAAAAGCAAAGCAATTGCATACTGCCTAACCATGAAAAAAAGTTTTGACAGTTATTATTGTTTATTTTTAACCTTTTGCACTTAGAACTTATGGACCTAAAAATGTGATCAGCTAGGTCAGACTCTTTCTGTTGGCTTACTGTCTTTTCTTTGGTTAGGTCAAAAAGCCACAGCTAAACTATTCTTTTAATGATATGGTATGAAAACAGAATAAAAATTTTGCTGATATTCAAAACATGTCAACATCTGCAGTGGGTTGTATTAACAGTCAGAAAATGACCCAGTAGGTTAATGCAATGGAAGTGTCTTACCCAATTTGATGCCTTTTGTTGAGGAAACTGCCCTAAAAACTGGGTAACAATAAACTGTTGGCCTGGTGTCAGTATGAGACAATTTCACATGCCCATTAATTGTCTGGTTTTGTATGACAAATGTTTCTAACGATGGCAGCAAACTGTGGTTTCTTACAGTATTTTAATGTTTTATCATGCAGATAAAATTATTTCTATACTAACAAAAATCCCTCTCAATCAGCTGTACTTGACTTATAGTGAGCAAGCTCTTACCAATTGCTTTTGGAAAGAAGAATGAATCCTTTATAGCTAAGAGGTATATTTGTATATGGGCTGTACTGCATTCAGAGAGGACAAATGCTCATTTTTCTCTCCTCTAAGCAGGTTGTCACTGGGCTTTCTAGGCAGCATTTGTGCAAAACAAAGTGCGGGAATAACTTTATAGTGGAGACAGGCAAAAGGCTGTTCAGCAAAAGCAGCGTGGTGCTTTCAGGGGTCCTGCAGGATCCCCTGGAAGTGCAAAAACTTCCTGCTAGCACTGAGCAAAACAGAGCAGGGCTGGGGTCAGGGAGAAAACAGGGCTCTGCTGCTGCAGTGCTAAACCTTTTGCTAACAAATTTTTCCTCACAACAGCATCACAATTGGTGCTGTCCTTCTGCACCAAGTTTGGTGGGAGTGGAGGTACTGAGAGGAGCACTGCTGCATGGCACACAGCCTGCATGACCATGGGCACAATGTTAGCCAGAGAAACAAAAACAGCTTTGGAATGACAATTGCTCAGTCCTTTTGGGAAATGGAACATGATACAGAGAGCTAGGGGTCCCGAAGTCCAAGCATGTCCATAAACGTCTCTTTCCTTTATCATCTTCATTAATAAAACATTAATACTAATAACAGGCTTCATCAGTGGGTCACAGAGAAAAAACAATGCCTGAAGCTTTGTATCTTCTTTCAAACTGTTGCCCCTGTCTCTGAAAGATGGATTAGATGCTGAACAGCTCTGTCAGTGCTACCTAGCAGTGAACTGATGATACCACTTTCCCACAATTAATTGAAGTGTTGCAGCTAGGCTGACCTGGCTAATTAACGTGAAATAGCATTCAAATTACCACAAGTATATTATCTGCCTCTTTATTGTTTTTAATTTGCTGACAGCAAAATCACTGAAAACAGAGATCTTGGAGAGATAAAGAGCCCTATTACTCTGGAGAAGGGAGTTGCAGTGGGGCTGCCTTTGGCCAGCTGCAGCTCTCGTAGCTGTACTGAGTCGAAGCTGGCCTATTTTAGATCCCCTTCAGGAGCATTTTTGCTTCCCTGAAGGTCTGACGTCAAGTGTTATTAATAGCTAAATTGCCTAGCATCTTATAAAAGCTGTATATTTCCATGGAGTTCATTCTTTTGCTACTGGTTTTCCACATAGGGAGCTATAGGATAGGGCTTGGGGATGCGGCTGTGGAGAAAATGGTGGATGAGGCAGCAGGGAAACATGCTGGAGAAATATAGCCCCTACATTCACAACATTTGTGGCTATTCACTGTTTCTGGAAATGCATAAGGTGTCTTTTTTTTTTTAACTGAGCTTTGAGTGTTGTAGTATCTGTGCTGGCGCTAGAGATGATGGCTCCCATTGTTTTGAACATCTGGAGGTGTGCACAGGGATGAGCACAGCTTCCCCTCCTCCATCATCCACACACATGCACCCTTAACTGCATAGAGCTAATCACCATGATGTGCAAACCTGTGAAATACCTGTGCAAACCATGGTATTCAGAAGAAGATTTTGTGCTATTGTTTAAATGTTAGTCATTGAAGGTAGCCCACCTACCCCCATGAAACAAGGTGAGAGACAATCTGTGGGCAAATTCTCACGTGTGATTTCTTGCTCTCATCCATTTGTGTGGAATTTTGCTGTGAATTTCTTGTAATTTTTATTGTCAATTTAAAAAGCACACAGAAGACATTATAATTTAATAAATGCTTTTCACAAAATATGCAAAGCAATAGGAAATTTTAGCAAGACATGCAAAGTTCTTGAATGAAAAGAAGCAGCTGTTTTGAAGATGGGGAGCTGGATTGCTTTTGATTGTAGTTTTTCCATTACATCCCTAAAATCTTCCAGCTGCTTTCCAAATAGCACCAAAATGATCAATCCACTTAATTGCTAACTGCCTATAAATTGCTAATGTTTAACTGGATCAACAGTTTCCCATTTGCTGTTTGTTTCCACGGCACACCAAACACAATGTGATACCAAACTCTACAGACCATCAAAATGGAGAAAGCACCAGTGAGAGAAAACCCTGTAATACACAAACAATTGCTCTGTGATGCAGTGTTTGCTATTTGTTTCATGTCATTCCTGGAAAAAGCCATAAGCTATTGCTGTTACTGGGTTTTCCACCTGTCCCTCATTCATTGCTAACATACAGTAGTAGAGATTTTTCCCCACTGACTCTCTTCCTATGGATGCATAAAAAACCCAAATCTGGGGGTATTTTTCCTTCCTTCCTTACTTCAGAAAAAACACATTACTATGGGAATAGAAGAGTTGCTTTCATCTACAGTTAGTTTCAATACTTTCTTAGGCCAATATCAATATGTTGCATTGTGCTAACATAAGAATATTGAATTTTCTAGAATTTTTGTATTGCCACACAATTGATTTGATACTTTTCGTTATTCAAGAGAGAGATTTTATGCTGGTATTAATTTGTTTGGTGTTTGGGTTACATTTTTTTTTTCCTTTTGCTCCTTTTTAACATTTGTTAAGGAGAATGATAAAGAAAATGCCCAGGAGCACAGCTTTTGATTTTGGTTTTTTTTCCTTCTCATTTTGTCTAGACTAATCACTGCATGAATAAGGGTGATTTTCTTGTTCACTGTCAGGCCTTGAATAATGAAGCTGTCTTGAAAAGAGTGTTTTCTTTTAAAAGGC